AAATGAAAAAAAATAATCATGGGTGCCAATAATATACAAATAAATTCTAAAAAATAGTTAATATATTTCACTTTTAATTTTTTACCATTAGTAAAACTATTTAATGTATATGGTCATTATCTCTTAAATAGTAAATTATATTAATTTGAAGAACAATTTATTTTGTATATTTAACAAAATAAAGCGTAAGAAAAAAATATATTGGCATAGATTAATTCACCAACTTGATTTTGTCAGATTACTTGGAAAAACAATTCTACCTAACCTGTACGATTTTCCATAAATATATTTGTATAAAAAGTGAATATTTGTGAAAAAAAAAATTATATTATGGTTAGAACTTAAAATATGGTGTAATATTTATCTTGACCAAAATATTATCAACATGGATCATGGAAATCAATCTTGTAATTTATTATAATGAATATCAATGAAAGTATTACAAATATTAACAAAATAATATTTATCTTGGCCAAAAATTTATCAACATGGATCATGGAAATCAATCTTGTAATTTATTATAATAAATATCAATGAAAATATTGCAGATATTAATAAATTTGATCTTATTTGAAAACGTGTATATGTAAGTAATTAATGTATATATTTAAAAAGTTTCCAAAAACAGCATGCATTAAATGTTTCCTAAATTTTTTGCTACTATTTTTAGTAAATTGTAATTCTTATTATATATACTAGTACAGAGCCCGTGCGATGCACGGGATGCACAATTTTAAGGCTATTTATCCAGACTTATAATTATATACATGAATAAAGATATATAGATTAAACACTAGTTTCTCTATGTTCTGAAGATATATAAAGTATTAGCTTTGTTGATTAAAAATAATAATAATAAAAAAAAATCTCCCCCATCAAAGTCAGCCTTGTCAAAATTGCAAGGTTTTTGCTTGCCTGGATTAATAAATGTGTTAAAATTAATGGCTTATAACATTCATTGAGTAACTTGAAGTTTATGTGATTATTTGCAACTTATCAAATTAGTCGAAAGTCGAAACTGAGATGGAGCCTGGAGGGTAATTTCTCAAATAAGTACAAGCCTCAAGGCAATGCTTGATGTTGATATTAGTTATTTCCAAAGATAAATAATAAAGATATTAGTTTTTCCAAAAATAATTGTAGTTTCTGGATTTTGATTGCTTTTCTATTCTACATTAATTGAAGTAATGTTTCAGGCTACCCGACAGCTTCTAGAAGACTATTGCTGTGGGGTTTTTATCTTGCTTTTCTCTATGTTTTTATTCCTTTTTTTTTTCCATTTGATTGCTAATTTGAGGTTGTTTCTAGTTTTCAACTTTAATTGTTATTTTGAATTGTCTATACGAATTATTTTGAATGTAAGAATTACTCTTGCTGACCAAAACTTATTTTTATATTTTGATAAAGGGTGTTAAAAAGTGGATAACTATGGAGAAATTTCTCCTAAAGAGAAAGTCTACAACGACGGAATCTTCAAATCCCCCGAGTCAAAAAAGGATATCCGATTTCGAAAACCTTCCAGCTGATCCCGGATTGCGACAACCAATATAGAGTTACGATACTAGTGACCGGGACAGAGTACGTCGGGCATATTTATTAAAGGGTCCATGTCAACCTATTCTTCATGAATTTCCCCAAACTGAAATGGGAAATGTGAAAAGGAGGTTCGTCGCAAATTGGTTTAAAAAGTATCCTGATTGGCTAGAGTACAGTGTCTCTAAAGATGGTGCATACTGCTTGTACTGTTATCTTTTTAGAACACCGGGTAATCAAAGTTGGGGCGATGCATTTGTTAGCGAAGGTTTTAGAAATTGGAGAAATTTGGAGAAATTTGATCAACATATTGGCAAGCATAATAGTTCTCATAATACAGCCAAATCAAAATGTAATGATTTAACAAATCAAAACCTCACCGGGAGTGTTTCCACTTTATTCAGTGGAAAGCAAAAAAAGGATAAAGTTGAATATGAAACTCGATTGAATGCAGCTGTTGATTGTGTTCGTTTCTTGTTAAGGCAGGGTTTAGCATTTCGAGGTCATGATGAATCTGACACGTCTTCTAATCGGGGTAACTATTTGGAACTTTTTCATTGGCTTGCTGAACATAATGAGCTTGTAGAAAAAGTTTCATTTCATAATGCTCTAAAAATTGTCAGTTGACGTCATCCTTTATCCAAAAATATATTTGTGTTGCTGATGCTGCTGAAACTACTTGTGCGATAGTTAAGGATATTGGAGAGGCATATCTTACAATCTTGGTTGATGAGTCTCGAGATGTGTCAGTGAAAGAGGAGATGGCGGTTGTTTTACGATATGTAAATAAAGAGGGGATTATATTAGAACGGTTTCTCGGTATTGAACATATTTCGAGCACAACTGCAACTTCACTTAAGGGTGCCATTGATCGTCTATTCTCGTGTCATGGTTTAAGCATATCAAAATTGCACGGTCAAGGCTACGACGGGGCAAGTAATATGCAAGGTGAGCTTAAAGGCTTGAAAACCCTTATTTTGCAAGAAAATTCATGTGCATTCTACGTTCATTGTTTTGCTCATCAACTTCAGTTGAGTTTAGTAGCTGTGGAAAAATATCATTTTCAAGTTCAATGTCTTTTTAAGATCACATCAAAGGTTATAAATGTTGTGGGAGCATCTTGTAAGAGACGGGATATTCTTAGAGCCAAACAACATGAAAAAGTTGTAGAAGCTCTAAGAAAAGAAGAAATTCTTAGCGGACGTGGATTGAATCAAGAAACTAATCTGCAACGAGCAGGTGATACTCGTTGGGGTTCACATTATGGTACTCTAGTTAAACTTTCTTCCATGTTTCAGTCCGTAACTGAAGTACTTGAAATTATTATGGAGGATGGGGCAAGTACCAATCAAAAAGTTGAAGCACGAATGTTATTAGATGCATTGCATTCAGTTGAGTTTATATTCATTATGCATTTGATGAAAATTTTTTTGGGAATTACTCATGACTTGTCATTGGCTTTACAAAGAAAAGAGCAGGATATTGTGAATGCTATGAGATTAGTTTCTATATGAAAACAAAGATTGCAGTCAATGAGAGACGACGGATGGGATGGTCTTTTGAATGAAGTTTCTTCATTTTGTTCTATACATGAAGTCGATGTCCTAAATATGGATGAAAAATTCATAGCTCCTGGTCGTCCAAGACGAAGAAGTCAAGAAAAAACAAACTTGGTTCATTTTCGTTGTGAATTATTTTATGCTATTTTGGATAAACAACTCGTGGAGCTTAATAGTCGTTTTTCTGAGCTTAATAGTCATTTCTTCAGCATGCCTATTATGCAAGATCAAAAAATCTTGCACTTGAGACACGACGGTCTTTGAGCCGACCATCTTGAAGTCAAGAAATTTGCCGATGACGAATTTCTTCGCCCCGACATCCTCAGACTTGTACTTCCTCTCCAAGGCAACCCAAAGCTTCTTGGCAGAACCAATTGAGTTGTACACATCGTACAACTCGTTAAAAGGTAATCACCTTGCTCCCAAGCATCGTACGCAACATATAGTTCAACAGTGATTTCATTTTTAGCCACAACAGCGGTGTCGCCTTTCAGGTACTTCGCCAAACCCATGGTGGTTTGGTAAAAGTGCATCTTCTAGTGCCGCCTCTTGAAGTCAAGCCCGTTAAATCTCTTAGGCTTTTTAGCAGTATTGACATGGGCAGCAAGTACGAGATGATGAACAACAATGTTGATCGGTTGTTGTTGCTGTTGAGTTTGCTGAGTGTGAGAACCTTCTCCGGTAGATGTCATCAGTTTAGTAGGTACAGAAATTGTGTTGCGGTTGTTACAAATTGATCGTTGAATACATGGGAACCTATGAACTGAAGTGTTCAGTTCTTACATTATTACCTAAAATTGAAAAAAAAAAAAATTACAACTTTAAGAGCGGAAATATTAAAGCCGAAGCGAGTAAACTCTTTCCGCAAGACAAATACGCTCTGTACAATGCTAACGAGTCTGTGCGTCTTGTCCCCAAAGATACAACGACTATTGACTCGAAAGTTGTAGCACACCAGACCTCAGAACTTCGATTTAGATTTTATGTTGGGCTTCAGAATTGGAAATAAATTTGCAGTAAAAAAGTTATAGGAGCTGAGCCCAAGACCTAAGCCCAAAATCGGCCAGACCGTCTAAGGTCACACAAGTCCAATCCACAGTCTAATTGCCAAATACAAAATACCAAGGACCAAGACCCAATGCCCACGTCCCAAGTCCCATGTCCCAAGGCCGAAAGCAAAGGCCCGAGCCTGTACCCAAGTCAAGACGAGCCGAGCCGACTGACAGCGAGTGGGCATCGCGCGTGCGTGGCTAACTCTAACACCAATACTTAGTTCATAACTTTGTTGTTGTGACCTCTCTAACTCCTTTTATTATAATAAATAGAGTCATTTAAGAGTCCAATGTGAAAAATAACTCTTATAGGATGATTGGATATAAAAAGTTTTTGTTTTGATTAGATTTTTGGTTTGGGTTAGTTAAATTTGAAAAAGTTGATATGGTTAGTTGTTAGTGGATATATTAAAATAATATTTAAAATAAAATGATTAAAATTAAATTGATGTAAAAAGTAGGAGAGATAAGATGTGATGTGATGGTTATTTAAAATTATGTGAGTTGATGAATAGTGAATTAAAGTTGATGTTGTGTATAAGAATGATTGATTAATATTATTTAATTATATTGATAATATTGATGATAATGGAGTTGAGTTAAAGTTGAGTTAAAAAAAGTGGTTGAGTTAAAAATATTTGGATTTTTTGAGTCGGATTTATATCCAATCATGCTCTAACATTTCGAATCTCACAATTATTGTTTTACGTGCTCATTTATGACTAACATTAATCAATTATTTCTTACTCACTGAAAATCAATTTTGAGAATAAATGTACCACAAGTATCTACTCGAAACGTAGAATTTTTCTACATAATTTAATTCAACCCGAAATTAAGCATTTAGTCATAAAAAAAGCAGTCAAAATCGGGTCAAACCTAAATTTTTTATAATTGTTTTCCAATAGACAACTCAAGTCTATGTTCAAACCATATATCATCACCACTCATATTACAACACAAGCTACACGAAAGTAATGTCCGGCAATAAATTTGGGGAAAACAATAACTTACCCCAACCAACATTCAAAAGGGATGACATCACACAGAATTCTCAAGCTCTCCTATCATACAAATTGTTTTGTCACCATAAGTCGGGAAAAGAAAGGGCAAAAGATATTACATATTACTTATTTCGACCAAGCTACTGAGTCGATCTCTGCCTGAGCAGCTTTGTACAACTCCAATCTCTTTGCAAGAGAAATACGTCTCTGCATAATTGCAGGGTCCTCATCTAACAATTTTCCCAAGTGCTTACCCTGTGAGACCCACACACATTGACAACTCATTTTCAGCATAAATCAAAGTACCAATAACCAAAACTACCAGTTCAATTTAGTAATATTTCATAAAATGCAAGCTTATAGGGTGTACCACACCTCAATGGGGTATATTTAAATCTTATTCTTTTCTGTTTCGGTAACTATTGTATGAGTATTTTTGGAGTTGAGAACATAATTCATCTTTCTTAGTTAGTACCTCCTTCTTGCCTAATTCTGCAAAGAAATGATCGAGCAAGCCCCGCTTTGCCTCGCGAACTTGACAATAAACAACAGATTTTGGAATGGAATTCCTCAAACTCGCACACACCATGTTGACGTAAGACAGGACCGTTGACCCTACATGATAATGAAATATGATGCCCCATAAGTTAAATTCAGTTACGTTAAGGGAATAGAATAAAAAATCAAAAAGGCATTACCAATTCTGCGCAAGTACGTGTCATTGTATCTATCAAAAATTGAATGGGTTGGGTTGCCACCCTTCTCAACATCCTGAGGAAGCTTCCGGAAGAAATCAACGGTTAGGTAACTATTTTCCATTTCAACAAGCTGTAAGGTTGCCTTCTTGCTTTCTTCTTTCATCCTGTCTAATGCTTCAACAGCAGCATTTCCAACCTCTACCCTGAGGGAAGGGTACTGCTTCAGCTCCTGCAAAACAACACAGATGACATAATTAATCTTTAATCACATTTGCCCAGAATTCTTACTTGAAGCCCTTTCTTTAGAACTTGTAATATATTACTAATTTATCCCCCATTTTTCAAATTGACCTTTTCATTCATACTGACTACTNATTAAATTGGAAAAATGACTTTACCCTGCCCTCGGGGTGTTGCATTAGATAGTAAAAACGGGACTCACCACAGTCTCATTAATTGATTTGTGAACTAGCTCCTTCAGTATTGCATGAACCTGAACAGAAAAATATGAAGAGATTTATAAGTAACAAGATATTAATTCAAGTAGAGGTCCCAAGGTGTCTTCCAAACCAACAAACATCATAAAAGCAGGCAACCTCCAACATATTGTTTCTGATAGTGTTCAAAACTTCTTATCTACACTCGAACCAATCTATCCATCCCCAGTAAGCATACAAGTAAAACCATTCCGTTCGACCTTTGGATCACCTAAAATTAGCAGAACCTATTCAGTTTTATCACCCTGCCTATTTATTGAAGCAATGCGGAAAACAAAGCGGACAGTACAATGCCTTCTTGACATCGTTTTTTGGAGTCTGTCCATTACAATCCACGTCAAGCCACTTACACATATCGACATAAAACCAAAAAGTAGTTAAAGCAGCTGAATATGATGCTTCTTGACAAATATTAGTGAATTGTCAGAATGACCCTGTAAAATCATTTATAACATAGTACGACTGAAACCTAGATGAACACAACCAAATTTCTAATACCCACCGCATCAACAGCTGCTTCGGCAGGACCTTTAATGGTAATTAAGGCAGTTTCAATAAGACGACGGTAACCCTGCTCGGGCGCTATAAGATGGGGCTGATATCCATCAGCTTCGGTGATTAACTTCCGCACGTTTTCCATAGCAAGATGTTTGTCAAACTGCAAGCGCTTCAATGCGGCAGGCAGTTGGTTATCAAAAACATTATAAATTTTATCACCACCTGGCCGACTGGGGAAACAAAACAATAGTATTAAAAAAATAACGAAATGTGAAAATAATATAAATCAATAGAAAAAAAAACAGTGACATACACTCCATCAAGATGCTCTTTGAATATTCCATCGAATATACGGCAGATTTCCATGATCATGTACAACTTTCCCTGTATTAAGTTTCCAGCATTTATAAACATGCAAGAGAGCAGGACAAGTTTGAAATTACATATGGGGTCCTAACTGAAACAGAAACTCGAGACAAAGCACGTAGAAGGACAATTGCAAAGACAAAAGAAGGTCTACTATCACGAAATAATAATTACTAATGACCAAAACTACAAAATGCTAACAGGAACGGCGGAAAAGCTTACTCCAGCATCAGTTGCAATGGGCTTCCCCAGACGACTCAACTCCGATTCCAGCTCAATGATGGTTTTGTTGATTAGTGACTGAAGACCTGGAATTCGTGATTTGATAACAGCTTCCAAATGCTGCAGTGTAGAAATAAAATTTAAATATACCCAAGAAAAGGCTGTACTCCACCAAATTTATTCAAAGGGTGCGTTTGGTTGGAGATATTGAGTGTGATATCATGCTATTCAGTATTATATCCATAACTATATTTTGTTTGGCTCACAAAGTTTAAGCACTTGATAGTGCTTTAGCCTGGTTTTTTATCACTCAAAATATTTATACCACATCCACCCTTGTGGTGGGATAACACTCACAATTTTCCTTATTACACAAATGTCCCCAAATTAAACCCACTGAAATTAATTTGCGTACCATCTCCTTTCTTTCTTTCAGCCATAAAAATCTTATTCTGACACAAAGCAAGAGAGAACCAGTGGAACTGAGGGATCCATTTTTATTCTTCATTTGATATTCATGGATCTAACATCATGGAGAATGGATTTCTTTTACTTTTCATTTGTTTTTCGATTACTAATTATTGCAGATCGCCTCACACCCTCAGTTCTTTGTCTTCCACATATTAGTATGCTTTTTCTTGGGACAACTTGAGAAATTTTTCAGGGGGGCACTTTTTCATTCTTTCATTTCAGGCACTCTTTCATTTGGTTGGATTTAAGGGGTGTATTCATTTGGGATTCTTAAAGATTTGTTGGGACTTTAAAAATCTTGGTGTATTTAATTTGCATTGTTTAAGACTTTTATGGGGCGATTGGCCACAGATTAAAACCGGTTTTGACTGATTGGATAATTTTTTCACTTTTTAACTCTAAATCTAACTCAACTCTCCTCAATATTATCAATATAATTACATAATATAAATCAATCAATGTCACACATCACATCAACTTTAATTCACAATTTATCTATTCACATATTTTTAACTATGTATCATTTCCAATAACCTATCTCCTACTTTTACATCACATCAACTTTAATCATTGTATTTTAAATATTATTTAAATACAAACTCAGAATCTCACTCAGTCCTCCACTCAATCAACTTTATTTAAAATTAACTCACTTCTAACTCAAGATCCAATCAAAACTAGTTTTGATTTATATACAATCGTCCCATTAAAAATTTTGAGGTATTCAGTGAGATTTCAAAAAGTCTTAACAAATCACGAGGTATTTAACTTATTTGACACTGAAATTTACTAAGACTTTTTATGATTTGGTGAAATTTCATATACAAAACCTTAAAAGAAATCTCACCCCATATCATACAACCAAACTTAATAAGATTTCGAAGGATTCCTTTAAATCTCAAAAAATCTTTTAAATTCCCAAATGAATACACCCTCCTTAGTGTTTTTTTTGTTGGATGGCCAATATTTTCCTTACAAGACTTTTGGAGGTAAGAATTCTTGTGGGCATAGGTTCTAGAAAATTAAGAAAGAATGTGAGGGCATTTTCGTAAATGCATATATTTTGGAATAGAACTTAATAAGGAAATGCTTAATTTAAATTAACAATAGTTTGATATCCTACTGTATTTTAAATAATGGAAGAGTCATTATTGACATTTCTCCTGACATAGTGCTAATAATGGACTAGATCAAAATGGCTCAATTAAATTCTAGTGCTTCTTCTATTAGTGAAGTTTCTAGAAAAATATATATCAAACGGCGCAATGCACATTGGGTCGCTACGGAAACAACCTCCTTGTATAATTACAAGGGTAAGGTCTGCGTATAACTGACCCCCCAGACTCCAACCTGTTGGGAATATACTGGGTGTTGTTGTTGTATCCTACTGTATTTTAAACAACCAAACAACAATATTATGAGGTCTATTAAATCCTTTATAATGTGTAAGATAGATCATTATGAATTAATCACGTGCTATCAATAAAGACAACCAAATGTTACCAAAGAGAAGATCCGAAATAAAGTATAAGATAAAATGTATGAAATCCATAAAAGTTTTAACTAGTATTGCACCAGCATTTTTGAGACTCAATTTGAAGTCAATCACACAGGTCCAATGGGACCATTTCCATCATTTTTTCACCATCTCTTGGTTAGTTATACACGAGATGGCATGGCATATTCCCCAGTAAAAAAATTTGACCAAGTCATTAGTTGTTATCTAAACTGGACTAATAATTTCTACAGCATAGTTTCTCCTAAAAAATATACATACTAATATATGGGGACAGTATTGCTTACTTTCGAGAGGACTTTCCCGAGATGCTCAGAACCCATTCTGTGAGCAAGATGCTTGTATTCTGGGGTCTGTGCAAAATATTCCCTCTCCCTACGTCTTGCAGCAATCATGTCTACGTTTTTGTTAATGTCTTGTTGAGAACGATTAACAACACCAATCCATGGGAACTGCAGCTTATAAGCTCTTCCTTCCAAAATCTGTGGATTTAAATAAACCAGCCAGAATGCAATATCAAAAGTTGAACAACAGGCATGTTTTTCCAAATTAATAGCAATAACAGAAAATGTAAGAAATTCAAAATTAGCCAGCCAGGAAAACATATTCAAACCAGTCATGAGAAGTTATGGCATTGGCTCACAACAGGCATATTTTTCCAATAAACAGCCTGAGGCTGCATTTAAGTTGCTCCTACAAACCACTTTACGTACATAGATTTCTCCCAACAGAATGCTTAATACTTGCGCAAAATGAACAACGTAGACTCTAAAAACATAAGTCAAGTTGTCAAAATGTTGGCTCTTTCTTTCCAATCTTTCACGCGGTGAAAGGAAGACCTTTCTCGTAGCGAGTCTCTATCTTTCATGAGAAATGAAAGGGGGGCTAGGTTCAGGCGCTCTTTCTTAGTGTGCCTTAGTTTGATCGATCACAGCCATAGTTGGTTATTCATTGATAAGAAAAGGGAAAAAAATGAATGGAGATTGGAGCAATCGTACAATGGAGAAAAGCAAGAATTCTATTCTGATGGTTGAAAAAGGTGACAACGATGTCTACTTAATAATCAAGTAAAGGCACGAGTGCCTGTATGTTTTCCCTTGATCCCTTCAACAATGTACTGTAAGATATATGAGCTACACTAGCAGACTTACATCCACAGCATCTGTACCCTTGTCCATAAGATCAATCTTTGTTAAAACTCCAAATGTTCTCTCTCCTGAAATAGGGCCAGTACAAAGTTAAAAA